AAAGCTGGCTCACCACTGCCTCCTTGTCACTGATGGACTGACGCCGCTTGATCCCAGCCGACAACAGCTGTAGCGAAGAAGGCCGATCTCTGGATCGATCGTTGCACAGGGGTTTACAGAATGATCGTGAGACCTGGTGCTGTGAACATGCTGGACAGCGCTAACTTGATAACCTCTCTAACAACACCAGAAAACTGTTCCACCTCATCAGAGTCACCGAGGTCTTCCGAGCAGGAGTAAGCGAAACAATCTGCGAAGATGATGGTTCCCTTCTCACTAATCTTCAACGACGGTTGGTGCGATGGGCCAAACATTTTCGCTCGCAGCTTTTCTGGTCGCCAGCTCCATCAGTTTCCCCCTGGGGCGCGCATTGGTGATGAGTGGACTATCCCAACTGATCCTCCCTCTCACCAGGAAATCTGCGAGAACTCTATTGTCTAAAGCTTTATAAGGCACCCGGCAATGATTGCCTACCTCCCGCTTTATTTAAAGATGGGAAATAATAAACAAAGAACCAGCTGTGCGCCGTAACGGCGCTTCGCTGCCGCGCGACCACCGCCAGTCGCGCCGCTTTGTTCTCAGAAGTCTGGCATAAGAGGAGAATCCATCATCTTGACATGAGTCGATAGTCGCCCCAAAGTTCAAGAGGCTTACGCACAAATTGCTCCAATTAGAGGGACGGAAGTTTGTTTCCCGTCGTTTGCAAGATTCTGGTGTCCATCACTTTTCGCATACTATCCCCAACGCCTGACTCACTACAGCGAGAAGAACAGGCTGGGTTCCGCCCTGATCGCCGCTGCATCGATCAGATTTTCACACTCCGCTAGATTCTCGAGCTCCGCCATGTGTCTCAAAAGCAAACGATTGTTGTGTTCCTGGATATTCCTGCTGTCTTCAGTTCTCTCGACAGGACTGCATTGTGGCACTATCTGTTGAGGAACGATATTCCCGGGAAGTTCGTTTCCATTCTGCGTGCTCTGTATAATCTAACCTCGGATAGTGTTAGAGCTTATGACAAGCTATCGTCTTACTTTGTTGTCACCAGTGAGGTTCTACAGGGATGCCCTATATCTCCATTCCTCTTCAACTTTGCCATTTAGGATGTCCTCAAAAATACTGTAGAAAACCTGTTGATTGCTAGTCTTGAGCTCCTCCCAGGTAGTCGAGTGGGTGATTTCGATTATGATGATGATATCGTCTTGTTAGTTGACGGTCCGCAGGCCCTCTAACTTGCACTTAGCCGCCTGGCGATTGAAGCGTCGAAGGATGGCGTGCACTTTGCGTCATCCAAATGCAAAGCGATTTTTCAAGACTGGTATACGCCCCTAACTGAACTCACCCTTGATGAGCAAACGTTAGAAGTGATAGAGAGATTTGCCTACCTGGAAAGCGGCATAACTATTGATGGGGCTGGTGGAAACCAGATTTTGATGCATACCTCAAGAGTTCGTCTCGCCTTCTCCAGGCGGAGGCATTTATGGCGCCGCCATGACATCCGTCTCTCCATCGAAGGGCGGGTTTATAGTGCCACGGTTTGCGCCACACTGTATTACGGTTGTGATACTTGAACTGCACGTATCGATGACCTACGTCGACTATCTGTCTTGGAGAACCATTGCTTGTGGTCCATCGCATGTGTGTGGTGGCTGAACCAAGTAACCAACACAGAACTCAGACAGGGCGTCTTAGATGGAGACAGCCACTCCTTCGAGGCGCTTGTCTCGCTGCGCCAAGTACGATGGCTCGGAGACGTACTGCGTATGCTCGTTCAGGGTCTTCCGCGGCGTGACTTGTTGGCGGTCGCTGGACAGCGCTGTAGGAGGGGTTGCGGTGGACAAACAAAACTTGGAGAAGCAGGATGAAAAAGCTGACAAAACAACCGGCCACAGTTCGTTTATCTCGACTCCCTAGATGGGGCCCCAAGAATGCTGAGTACAGTTGGATAAAATCTTTGAAGTCATGGCTTGAAACCGAACTCAGTGGCTGGCATGCATCTATGCACATTGTTGTGATTCCCATTCCCTACCCCAATAAAAAGCCATTAAAAAGTTCAAACCTGTGAGTGGAAAAACTGAGCAATATCTGTTCGTTTTCTTTATTCTTTTATCTAACCTTGTTTCCCTATTCCGCCCTAGCCCCGATGGCACGATATATATATATATATATATATATATATATATATATATATATACTGTGACCAAATGACAACTTATTTGAACTTTTGCTATAATCGCTGCCGCCAGATAGAAACCATCTTCCTCCGTGCCGACCGCTTTTCTCCACCCTGAAAGCAATGAAGTCAGCGGTCATGAATCTTGCCGAAACATTTGCTTGGTTCTTTCAACGTTGTCTCGACCAAATGCAGGTTCCCAGAAATGTGGAAACTAGTCAATCCTCTTTATCCAAACTAATGGAAGGTATACTTGCAGAGGTGCTCATGGGATATCTTAGGAGCAATAACCTCCTAATGTCAAAGCAACACGTAGTACGCCGAAATTGACCATGCACTACAAACTTGATGCTAGCCCGAGCAAGCTGGACAGAGTCAGCCGATGCCAGAGTAGCAGTCGACGTTGTCTACGTGGACTTCTCGATAGCTTTCGGTCGTTTGAACCACCGTATTCTCCTTCACAAGCTTTGAAGCTATGGAATCGTTGACTCTTTACTCGGTTGGATCGGCAACTTCCTCGCTCAACGTCAGCTGAATGTGAGAATCCGCAGCTCCATTTCCGACTCAATGGACGTCCGGTGTGGCGTGCCCCAAGGATCGGTGCTGGGGCTACGTTTCTTCCAATATTCATTAACGATCGTGACAGTCAACTGCAGTTGAATTTCTTACTATTTGAAGATGATGTCAACATTTGGCATGATATCAGGACAGCGGACGATCACATGATGTTGCAGAGCAATCTCAACAGGGATTTCTGTTTGTCTAAAGGGAGAAGTTCGCCACCTTAATCATGTCTATGTCCAGACAATTCTAGGGAACAATAGTTATCGTAAGGTTTGCGGATGATGAAACGTCTCAGCGGAGTCACTAGTCAGAGCACATATTCTAATGCGGATTTAGCAGAAGTAGATCGCAACTTCTGTTGCACTAGCAGTGAGTGGTTTTCGGACTCGTCAGTCGCACCATTTCAGTTGTCTACGGACTCACTACCTCCTGTCGAATTCTCGACTGCATTGTGTTGACGAGTTGTATCTCGTCTTATGATTAGAACGGACAATCGAAAGTAAGCTACTGTGCCATCGTTTCCGTGTACTTCTAACCCAGCCCGGCACATTCATCTTTCCGAAAACAGCATGTGGTCCCCATCATCAACTGTGCAGCACCTTCTAAACTGTTCTCATGATTTCCTCCGTGGACACGGCAAGCACCGCTTCTTCATCGTTGCGGTAATGTCTAAAATAACACATTAGCAAAGCAGGTTTATCAACTAATCACCAAACCCAAAACGTGCTATCCAGCTTGCTGATAAGTACTTCATTTTTGCGTCCACTCCCATAATTTTGCTTCATTGGTGACAAGATACTCAAATCAATAATCTACCTATCAGGATTTTACTGGACGGGAATCTCTGGCTCATACACTGAGTTACCTTGCCGCTGATGACTTGGTCCATGATATTGAATTTGGCAACCCGATACTTCAACCTCCACATGCTTTTAAACTTTAGTAACCGCAAACATTAAAATTGTTGGGTCTGATTCAGCCTGAGCAACCAGTTCTTCGGAAAGCTAAAGTACCGAATCTCACCTCACTGACAGGTTTCCCACCTGCCTAGGTTTATTATTCTGAGGGTACCCGCATGTGTCTTACTGCGCGTACGAATTTATTGCCATAGCATAACCGTTACTAATTTTAAATTGAGTGAACTGACCTGCCGGTTGAAGTATACGTTTAAACCAGACACTGAACAGCTCATATTCGGCATTTTTCCAAAGACTTCACAAGTACCTTACAATCCGGACTTACATAAATTTCAGTTACTACCAACTAGCTGTTCAATGTTACGCACTGAAGATGCCAAGATTGGTCGAAAAAATTGTCCAGATCGGCGAGCAACCCATCACTTCAACTCCAGTCAGAGCAGCTCCGATTTTGTGTCATTGTTAACTGCAAGTTTTCTCAAATATTTACGGTCTCTCACATCGCCTTGTTTGCACCTTTGTCAGATGTTTGACATTAGGGTCACTGTGTGATAAAGGGACCTACAAACAGTCGGATGTGCTGGCGTCAGGCATGGTTCCACACAAGTATGACAGCTGCATAACCTGTGAGTAGACTTATTCCTATAGCAACTCTATGGCAGATGCACACCACTTCTAGCGCCTGGCTGCCTGCACTGTAAGTTCTATATCTTCTGTAACGACTCAATTCAATTGAGCTAGATTAAAATGTGCTTTTGCGTCCTGATTCTGAGTCCGAGAAGATCTACCACCCTATAGTCCCGGTTAAACTATTCATGGCACGTCATCGTTAACAGCCATAGAAATTTTTCTCATCACTACCCTTGAGTATCTTGCTTTACTTCAAACTAGATGTATGCACAGAACAATGAGTTTCTCCATCCATCTGTGTGGAAATGTCGTTCAGGAGATGCTACCTAACCTACCCAAGTGGTTCATGTCATAAGCAAAATATTACACTACAGCTGTAACGTTCGTCATTTGATCAGACATGCGAGGTACACAGGCAGCCAGGATGATCCTAGATTCTGTTGTGTGGGACATTGGAATATTGGAACATTGTATTTAATGGGAATAGAAGCTCGAGTTTTACATGACCCATAAGGCAAAAAGAGCTCGGGTCGGGTCTGGTGAAAAGGCAAGCAAGATTATAGCGGGTTCGACTCGCGTGTTAGCCGTATCTTCATCAGGCCTATGCGGCATCTAAACAGTATGTACGCCCGCTTAAAACTTGACATCCCACCAAATACACCTGTACATCAAATCCAATACAAGAAGTTGGAATATTCATTTCACAATAGATTTCTAGCCTACAACCATGTTGAAGTTCTTTCTTCTATCCAACCGTATGGATCGAAACCGAATAAATATACCATAAAAACAAGGAGGAAAGCTGCAGCAGATATCCACCATAGGGACGGGCGCAGGCGTGTAAGCGACTCACCAGCAACGGTTGGCAACATCAAGGCCTGTCGTTTCTCTTTCATTCTTCGATTTTGGAACCAAACCTGCGTGAAGAATATGGAAACACGTGAAGTAAACTCAAACGCGGTGAACGGAGTTCAGAAATGTTCAGTTGATCAACTCGACTAATCGGGATCGTCAGCAAACAAGGCCTAGTACGCCTGGGTCAAGATGATATAAATGAAAGAGGTTGTGCACAAAAGCGCGTCACAGCCTCCAGCTTGGCATTTTACAAAGCGAGTTCATTTCAGTATGTAAACGAAACCAGCAGCTGTTAAAACTTATTATAATAAACCAGGTAATCTGAATAACGGCAATAAATTGCCACTTACAGACAAAAGTGAACAGTTTTTAACTAAATTACCCCGAGTCTGAAGAAAACTCCCTAAATATAATACACACTTGTAAAGAGGCTTTGTGCATGTGCACCAGTTATGAGACACAAATTCAAGAAAATGATGAATCACTCTGTGACCCAGAAATGTCTGTTTTAGTTGTCAATGGCTCAAACTATGCGGTAGTTCATCCAGGGGACTATCCTGAGACTATCATACTATCGCGTGGATTACTCTGTGTGTAGCTGGTGACAGGCAATAACTAACATGACATTACAGTCAAGGACAGATGGTGCAAGTCTTGATGAAGATGAAGGGCAAGTATGGATCGAAGCAGAAGCTCCATCCACCTTGATATAGCACTGCCTATCGGCCTGTTGTTGTGGGGTCAAGACCTGAAAGAGTCCAGGCGCTTAATGCGTGATACCTGTAGATGCCGGCACACAGTTCAAGTTGTAGGTTAAGCACGGGGAGTTGTAACGTCAAATGGATATTGGCTTCGTTTTTGAAGCCTGATACATAAACTTCACTTTCTGCCTTCAGAGGATCCATCGTTTGTAGCACCACAAAAGTTTCAAAAGACCATCAACTTCTTTTTTACACTAACTTGCACAGTATGCACTTCAGGAGACGGAGCACAGCAGATTCCCCCTGCGATATTATTTCATTCGATGTATTACCCAAATGGTAAAGGGGTAGTAGGTTTCTCTGCTTGTTCGTGGAAACAGCCAATGGGTACGCATGGCCAGTGCTAACAAATCGAACTTCAACAAATAGGGTGGTTGCCGTACGTCCATGTGCATCGTTCAGCTAACATTAAATTCGTAGACTCTTTTCCTAATTAACAAGATGTATAGGATGTATCAATCAATCAAGCACCTACCTTGATGGTATTTTCTGGTAGTTTTAACTCCTGTGCCAGTTTATTTCGCTGTGGACGGCTGATATAGCGCTCTGCTTGGTAGGTCTTTTCGAGTAACTCAATTTGTTTGGGACTGTAGCTTGTTCGGTAGCGTTTCCCCATGTCCACTTGCTCGTCGTAGTCAGCCCCAGCTGATCGTTGGGGTGGGCACTTTGCCACCTCCGGTGGAAACATCGTCCCCTGGTTGGTCCATGGTTCCGCGTCTTTATTGATCTCCGTAGGATTGTTGGATAATGAGCTCTTTGCCACTTCTGTTGCAAATTCGTCAGTTGGCACTATATCACGCCGTTGGCTTGCAAGCGGTGCACAAAATCCAATGGTCGTGCCCTCCCAATTAGGGCACCGCATTTCCGTGATTTGGCATGCCCGATATACACCAGGAGAATTCAGTCGCACAGTATTGATTGCAGCGGGATGGTAATTTTGCTCCCTTATTTTCTGGTTGTTCCTAGCAACAAGACCGTTTTGCCAGGCTGTCGTGGAAGCGCAGTCGTTGGAGCACGCTGCAAAGAACCTTCTCAAGTGTGCGTACTGAGGTTGGATGAAGGCCATTGAAGAGGGGGCCAGGTGAACCAGCAAGTCTCGCATATACGCAAGCGTGCTTGCAGGCACGGTGGTGGAGTCACACCTTCCATGCACTGCTCCGAGATCGTTAATGCTCATGAAGGTGGGTCATCCTCAAGAGGCTGTAAGACATAAGTGATGAACGGTAAGTTAACTTGGACGGATCCCCTCATGTTTTTGAACGCTACTCCTGCGCATGCAGTGAGGACGGTTGATAGTTTAGTGTTTGTTAAATCATACCAAATCTAACCAGATACTAGATTGTATAATCTATGTTGAACGCAACGACACAACGGCAGGAGCACGGACTATTGGGGATAATCTCTCGAGCCTGTTTTATTCATTAGGCTATTTATGCGTTTAGGTATCTGCACCACGTTTGATCGGTGCATGATCTTCTACCTCTGTGAAACTAAGGTGACCTATAGAGGATACGTAAGACGTTCCGCTGCTACTTCTGACAAACTTTGTCCTCATTATGCTACTGAGATGGCTAACACCCAGTTTACTTCACATCGTAGCTACACGACTGGTGAAAAGTTGCATTCACTTTAATCCCAAAACGTATACATTAATTAGGTTTCGCGAATTCAAATCCCTCCCATGCATTGATTGTGATCAGGGTGATCCGACTTCCGTGTTACTTGGTAAAACACTCATGAGCCATGAGTGGACTTCGCAGCGGAACCGACAAAAGAGTGGTGTTCACTTGGCATGATTCAGTTTCGTTATCTACGTGCTTGAGGATGAAGCTTCTTTAGGTAAGTTTAACTCGGCTTGTGTGTTTGAGCGATTGTGTTAATAACTACAGTCGACAAGGAATGCATCGCTGCTTTCGATTTATACAGTGCTATCCTACAATGGCTGCCGTAACACGTAGTTAAAAATACAAACGAGAGAAATGGTGAGAAGCACATGATTCGCTGCGGTGTTGGCTAACTGGTCACACGTTTACCGTCTCGTTCTTCACTGTAAATTGGTCAAAAACGCTCCACTTTGTTGGCCTTTTGGCACAAGATCATACCACAACCAAGGTTACCACTTACCGGGGTCCTCCGCTTGCTTCATACTTAGACTGCCCATACCGAGGGAATTAAAAGGTTTGACCAGTGGAGTCTTTGCCCAATCCTCTGCCCTGCTCCCACCATCCACACACACAACGACGCGAGATGATAATGTCATCCCCACTGCTTCCCTTTGATTGGGTCCTCGCTTGCCGCGCCTACCCTGGCCGCGCCAATCAGATTTAAATAACCCACTGTGAATAATGCACTACAGGTCTTTACTCGCAAAACCAGTGACACTTCCAGTGACTCGACTGATGTGTACTTACCGATCCTCATGATCATCATCATCACGATCCGAGGTGGTATTTTCAGTGCGCTATTGTGCGGAAGAGCGGAGCGTCGCGATGCGGTGTTAGTGGGTGTGAGTCGGGTAGTCACGGGCGTGTTCGATCCTCTGGGAAGACGAGCGGTAGGTCTGTGTGCTGCTTGTTCGACTGCTACATGACCAACGAGATTGGCATCTCTGATTCTTAAGCACGCGTACCGGTGCGGCTAAACTGTCGTCCGACATAAATGTCCGGCGTTCTGTGCCATTAGGTTTGGTTGATTAATTTGGTGCATCATAAGACATGTAGTTCCTAGCTTTGTTGTGCGGTTGCGAATTTGTTTATTTCCCTGCTTATTCGTAAGAGTAACAAAAATATTCTCTGGGAATATGAAAGCCCCCTTCGTTTCCTGCAAAGACGAAAATTATCCACGACACCGGTAAACACCTGCTCCCATGCCGCCGCAAAATCTACTGTGACTGAACTACAACACTCATCATCAACTGCATTACATCAGCCATTTAAACGGATACTTCGCTACCATACAACCATGAAGACTTATGAAATAAACAATAAGAAGAGGGAGAGAAGAAGGACATACCTGAAAACCTTAATGCCATGAGAAAAAATTCAAGATCAAGGCGCCTACAACTTGTGTAGTCAACATACCGTCACAAACAGCCGACTATCGTGCAAAGATAAGGCGGCATCGGCGAGACAGCTTCCTTGCGGCTTTCACTGCCCCGCGTCATAATCAGCCATTACCCCGCAGATAACTCAGCACCAAACACACTCTAAACAGGCCATTCGACTATGAGACGGCACCAGACGCGCCACTAGTGTCGGTTGCGAGCCATGTGCTGTAAAGTCATGAGCCAAGCACAAAGCGAGTCACGTGGACTCCAGCCCTGAAGGCGAGACGGACCAAGCGCACCCAGTTCACTCGTCAGTGACTTCATTCCACGCTGACAAGTCAACTTCTGTCCACCTCGAGCCTTGCGCCACCCTACATCTGGTAGACTGGACAAGGCCCTCGTAGGTAAGCGGTGACCAGGCATACATAGCAGGTGCCCATGCCAACGCAACTTATTCAGTGCTATCTGTTGTTCTAGGGAGCCACCATGATTATTATTACCTAGCATTCGCCTACGCAAACTATCGTTGTGGACATGCTGGTGCCATCTAACACCAGTAATGCTTCACAGACAACGATGACCAAAGACTAGAAGGCGCCTCAGATCTTTACACCGAAGGGGCCAAGTCTCACTACCATAGAGCAGAACGGCCCTCACTGTGGTCTTGTATACATGGCCATACAGACGAAGGGAAACTCCCTTCTGTCGCCAAATATGCTGCAGGTTCACGAAGATAGCTCTGGCTTTTGCAATGCGTGAGCTGACGTCAGTTTCTATGCGCCTATCACTGTTGATGCAGCTGCCAGGGTAAGTGAAATAATCAACCACCTTGAGTTCCTCGTTAGCAAGGGTCAAGGGGTCTTCAAGTATCTACTGGTCCTGCAGCAACACTTTGCACTTTGAAGGTGCGAAGTGCATACCAAATAATGGGGCCACTCTGGACAGACAATTCAGGGTGGATTGTGCCGTCGCAACAGCGTCGAAAAGCAAGACGATATCGTCCGCATAATCTGGGGCAATTAAGTTTTCACCAGGCAGCACTTCAACGCCTACATGGTGAGAGTCTGCAAGGGAACACTCCATGATAGAATCCACGAGGCAATTGAACAGAAACGGGGAAATCGGACAACCTTGACGAACGCCACTTGTGGTCGGAAAGCTATCTGATAGGCCACCATAGACACTGACGCGGCCTGTAGTTTTCGAGTATAGAGCACGAAGGATGTTCACATATTTCGTGGGAACACCATTCCGCGCAAGTATTTCGAACAGAATCAATCGATCGACTGAATCGAACGCACTCTTGAGATCGAGGAACACGGCTATTGTCGGTGTGCGGTATGCGTGACGCTGCTCTAGCTCCTGCCGCAAATTGAATATATGGTCTATACAGTCACGTAATTGGCGGAAACCGGCCTGCTCTTCCCTAATCCGAGATTCCCGTTCCACAATGAGGCGACGAACGATAATCGAGGCCAATACTTTTGTCACAACTAGCGTTAAGCTGATAACCTGTGGTTAGAACAGTCTGTGGGACTGCCCTTCTTGTATATTGCCACTATAATTGATTCGCTCCAATTAGCCGGAACACTCTCTTCCTTCTAGATATATTCGAATAAGGAGATCAGTGTTTTGCAGAGGACCTCGCCTCCATCCTTAAATAGTGCAGGTGAGAGGGAATCCGGGTCAGCGGCACGAAAACGATTAAGGGCTGTGATCGCGTTTCGGACCTCGGCCTCCGTCGGAGGCTCTAAACTAACCGTCTCTGGCTCGTCCTGCATCACCTGAGTAGGAAGAGGTCAGGGAGCAGAGGGCCAGCTGAACTGACCTTGAAAGTGTTCCGCCCAACGAGCCATACGGCGCTCCTTATTGTGTATCAGCGCACCGCGCTGTCTCTGATTGTCTCACTGGCGCCTGGATTTCTGGGACCAGTGGTGCGGATCAGCGGGAAAAGCTTGCGGTAATTGCCTACTGCTCCTGCCTCCTCCATTTCTTGAGCCGGACTGGTTCACCAGGCTTGCTTGTCAGCACGCAGGCCCTGCTTTAGTTTCTGTCTAATAGTCCGTCTGGTCGTATTGTGTTCAGAGCCAGCCGGGAGGATTATTCTGGATTGCAACAGGTTCACCGACCTCTCGGATGTCCAGTGAGTGGTGCGGTGACGATGGATAGTGCCACATGCAGATGCCCCGTCGTGGTGCATGGTGGCCGAGATACTATTCCACTGAAGCTCAGTATCATTATGATATGATAGCGAGATTTCGGTACGCATTGCGTCTTGACAGGTTTGCCTGACCGAAGGCTAAGAGAAGTTCTCGGCTGCCTGCCGGTAAAGTTCGTAGAGAAATGACAGCGTACCAAGGCATGCTCAGAATCGACGCAGGTATTCCAGTACGAACGGCATTCTAGGATGGAATCACGCCACCGGTAACTTATGCAAGTAAGTAAGAACACAGAAACGCAAAAAACACGGTTGCAGTTTGTACACACGAACAAATATCTGGTTCGCTTGAAAACGTGGACATTTATTCGCACACATGAGTCACGTGTGTACAAAGTCGGTCCTTCAGGGACAAAACGTA